GCTCTGCAGCCAAGGGTGCTGTATCTTTAGCAATAAAGTCCAACTATCTAGTTATGGTAGACAATCGATAGCAATAATATCTGGCTTTTTAAATTTATAATATATAATGTATTTGAACTCAGGTCTTCATATTTGCATAGCAAGTGCTCTTACCCACTGAGTCATCTCCCAAGCCCCTGGATAATCTGTGTAAGCTTTATGGGTTTGTAGAATTATCTCAAGGGGAAAACGCCACAATTTTCTTTTATCAGTGCCTATTGTTTTTCCAGTTAGCAAATGGTGCTTCTCATATCCACAGGACATTCTGTGAGTGTCACTCTAAGTGGCTTTTTGGGATCACTGACATTACTGGGAAACCTTTGAGGTCAAGAGATATTTCATTAATTGGAATAATTATGATATCATTTTTACTCCGTAGATTCCCTCAATTTTCCCTTTTGACATTAGTCATTATAACTAATATTCATATCACATTGGATATAACCTCTGTCAGTTCTTGGAATAACATTTGTGTGGCATTGAATTTTACCAAAAAAGCACAAAGCTGGCTGCAGAGAGTATTTATTATAATGTCACTAAGGTGAGTTGCTGCTTGTCAGGGACTTATTCAATGCTCCAAATAGAACTATTGCAGGCATTCAACATTGCACAAATACAGAGCTCACAGATTTAGACATGGAACCCATGCTAAGGAACAAAACATGTCATAATGGAGTTTCTGATGAGAGGCAACAAGCGTTATAGTTTTGGTTGCCTTTTGTTTTTATGTGCTCAGGATCAATGCAGGGCTCTGCATATGTTAAGTGAGCATTCTCCACCATTGAGATGCTGTACTTTATTATTATTGTTTTAAATTATATGCATGCTCACTTGTTCTCTCACACTGGTGTGCATGCAGGATGCCTGTGAAGGTGAGAACCATTGACTCCCTCTGGAGCTGGAGTTATAGGTAGCTGTGGATCTGGTGTGGGTGCTGGGAACTGAACTTGGGTCCCTTACAAGAGCAGTATACTTTCTTACCTGCTGAGTCCACTGCTATCATTTGGAAGGGTGGATCTCAGAGTTGTTGGAGCTGTCAGAAAGGACTTCACGGGAAAAACAACTGCATTTGAAAGGACTGAGGTAGGTGGATACTGGGGAACAATAAGTTGATATCTTCAGAAGTACTGTCATATGGTGAGCTCTGAAAGGCAGGGGAGGGGACCCAGAATGCTGCCAGCTTTGGGGCTCTGCCAGGATTTTGTGGGAGAGGCTTGGCAGAAGCAGAATGGCCTGTGATCATAGTCCTTTGATCTGGCAAAAGTGAGTCTGAAAAGTTGAGACATTGGGTATGTTAGGTGTCAAGTGTTTATTCGCCATTGCTCCTTCAGTCTACTTGTTGATTGAGGGTTATGTGCAGAAACTGGCCTCGAAAGAAAAGCAGTTCAGTTAAGCGTTCATACCTAGAACTTGAAAAACTACGTTAAAAGTTTGCAGGAACTTAGTCAGATTTTCCTACTGTGTCTCCGTTTCCTTCTTCCTTCCCTCCCTCCTTCTTTTCATTCCTCCCTTCTCTTCTCTTCTCTTCCTTTCTTCCTCCTTCCCTCCCTCCTTCCCTATTTTCTCTCCTTCCTTCTTTTCTTTCATCTGGGTGGACTCAGTGTGTTGCATAGGCTGGTCTTGAACTCCTGGACCCAGATATTCATTTCCCTCAGCCTTCCAAGCAGAAGGAACTAAAAGCATGTCCCGCTGTGTTCAGTCTTAAAATGTCTTAGACAAAGACATTTTCTTAATTCATTGAGGTTTGTTTTACTGAAACTTTGTATTCATAATGTTTTATATTATACAACACATGTAATCTTGTTGGAGACAAATTAAAAACAGAGACTGACTGTTGTCATGGTTTTTTTTTTTTCCATTTTAGGCTTTTAGAAATAGTGTTCCTCTGTCTTGGCTGTCCTGGAACTTACTCGAACTCACAAAGATCTGCCTGCCTCTGCCTTCCCAGTGCTGGGATTAGAGGTGTGTGCCACTATGCCTGGACCCATTTAACTGACTTTCAATGGTATTACACAAGAGTTGCAGGTTAATCAAGATTATTAAGACAAAGTTCATAAGGATCATTTTAAGATTTGCATATTTGAGTAGATATACATAGTTTACTTATCTCTGTATGTTTAGCTGTTGTCCATTTCTCCTGTTGTGATGCCACTGGTATTCTGCTATGCAGATAGGTTTTACATCTATCTGCTTTTGTATATGATATTTACATATATGTAAATGTATATGTTTAAATGCTAGCATATTTGACACATACACATTTGCTCTGTGGAAGGTCATAGGTGGGGCTTGAAGTTATCACAGTCACCAGACTAGTCACTTCTGCTGTGGCAGGCCTCTTTGTGGTGTGTTCTACAGATATCACTCCTGTAATTTGTTTTATTTTGATATGGGTTCTCTTTGTAGCTCAGGCAGGCCCAGAAAAACCTGTGTAACCGATGCTGGCCTTGAATTTATGATATCTTCTGTCCTCCACCTGCTGGGATTACAGGTGTGTAACACTACTTACTTATTGCCCCATCATTTTATTCTATGTCATTATCTGAAAAGGGCCGGTGTGCATTGCATTGATACAGTGATAACCTTCAACTTCTGTTACTGGTTATTGAAGCTGAGGTGTTATTATAATTGAATTTTAGTTAATTCTCTCTCTCTCTCTCTCTCTCTCTCTCTTTCTTTGTGTGTGTGTGTGAGTGTGTGTGTCCTGCCACTTTGAGTGTGAAGAGGTCAGAAGACAACTTTAAGAGTCAATTCTCTGTTTCTACCTTTATGTGGGCTCTGGGACTTGACCTCTGGTCGTCAGACTTAAACAGCATGAACCATTACCTGCTGAGTCATACCATCACGTACCTAAGAAGACGTTGAAATTGGGCATCAGGCTCACAGCCTGTAACCTCAGCTACTGGGAACACTTAGGCAGGAGGATGGCAAGTTCAAGGCCAGCCTAAACAACTTAGCTGGAACCTGTCTGGATATATAGTTTTAAAAAGAGCTGGGGCCGTAGCTTAGTGGCAGAGCACTTGACCAGTAGCAATAGGCTCGTGGGTTGAATCCCAGTGTCACAGACAAGGGAAAGAAAGCCATGACAATCATATAAAAGTCCAGGGTGGTAATGCATTCCCTGTGACTGCTCTTTCTGCTCCTCCCCACAGTCTTGGCAGCTATCTAGCTTGCACATTTTCCGAGGGATGTATAGGGGCCCAAGGGCATGCATACAAGCGTGCACAGGAACTGGCAGAGCTGACAGGAAGGAAAGTCCATCAGGACACTACAGGTGGCCAGCCTCACACACATCCCTGGCTTTCACACACTGAATTGCATTTTGTTTCCATCTAGCGATGACAGTGCGGAGTGACTTCATTGTTTTCAGTAGTAGTGCTCTACAGTAACTATTTCCTATCGATGGATCTTTGTTCTTGGTCTCCTGCCATAAACAGTGCTCCAACAAGCAGCCTGCCCACATTGAATTTAAATGTGGCATAAATGCCACACAGGAGATTGCTAGGAAAAGTATATCCATATAAAACTAACATCAGTGCTATTAAATTTCCTTCCAGAAAGCCAGGTGTGATGGCACAGGCCTGAAATCCTAGCTTTGAGGAACCAAGTGAGGATCATGGGTTAGGCTGAGGCAGGAGGATCACCAGGAGTTCAAGACGAACTTGGGATACAAAGGGAGACTCTGTTTCAAACAATGGCAAAAAGAGAAACAAAAATCCCTTTCAGGGGTTTTCATTCCCACCAGCAATGTGTATGATGGCATTTCTCAAACCTGGACTGATTTGGTAAATCTTTTATCAGCTGTCAAGATGAGAAACAAATCTCACTGATTTGATTTGCATTCAATCCATTATTGGATTTTAAGCTTTGAACATTTTAAATCAAGTTTCTGTCTATAACCAATTTGTGAACAGACGCAGATCCTACTGGATAGCGGGGAAGCTAGGAGGTATGTCTAATTATTTGTTCTGAAGCAATATGAGGAATGAAATTTAGTAATAGCAACAACGAATTTAAGGATAGTCCTGTCTGGATTTGCTGCTTGTATGGTGAAGTGTTATGTGTTCCTAATCCGTAGCATGCAGTTAACTAATCTCAACGCACCATAAGAATGGAATTAAACCGCATTGTAGGAGAGGTGGGTATCTTTTGTTTGTTGTTTTTATAAGACAGCATCTCATGTAGCTAAGGCCAGGCTACTCTTGAGGTCCTGACCCTCTGGCCTCTGACTCCTAATTGCATGAGTCATTTACTTATTTATTCTTTTTTAATGAAAATGATAGAAATGAGAGTATATACCACGGGACATGCTCTGTTGGCACATTATTAAGCCCCCCTCCCTTCCAAGCAAGGGAAGAATTATGTACGTTTGCGCCTAGATCCTCAAATCAGGTCACCGAATGTTTGACAGGGGACATTGAGTCATTCAGAAGATATTGTAAAGCCAGAGAAAAATAGACTCCATTATCCTGAAAGGGGAGGAAGGATTCCGCCGGCCCCTCCCCTTGCAACATATAAGAAACCCTGTATTATCGCAAGAAAACAATAAATACCTCTCCCCTCTATGCCCTGTTGGATCCTAGTGTCTCTTATAAAGCTTTGCATGTTAAAAAGTGAGGCTCAAGGAAGAGCGTGAGAACGAGGCAACACTCAAGTCCCACCCACCCCTTCCCGATCGATGGGGGAGGTCGCTCTGCGCACCGCTTTTTGTGTGGGCTTCCTCGGACCTGGTCCTTGGCAGTCGGGGATTGCACCCCCGAGGTGGGGCCCACGGCGGGCTGGGCTGCGTGCTCCGGGCCCTCCGGGTCTCCCCGGCTCTAATTCCTGTGTTCCCACCCGCTCGGCATCCCCCTCCCCGGCGCTGCGGCTGGCGCGCGCCCCGCCTGACGCTGCAGCTGGGCCGGCGACTCGCCATTGGATTAAAAATAGCAGTGTCTGCCCGCCCGCCCGCCCGGCCAAGGGCCGAGCCTCCCCAGCTGGAGCCGATCCCCAGCAGGAGCGGATCCCCAGTCCGCGCGGCCGCTGAGCCCGGGTCCCACTCCCCTGCTGCGCCGCGCTCCTCTCCAGGCCCGCTGCGCTCCGCGGCGATGCAGCGCCGGGGCGCCCTGTTCAGCGTGCCGGGCGGCGGCGGCGGCAGGAAGATGGCTGCAGGGGACCTGGGCGAGCTGCTGGTACCACACATGCCCACGATTCGCGTGCCCAGATCGGGGGACCGCGTCTACAAGAACGAGTGCGCCTTCTCCTACGACTCCCCGGTAAGGAAGATCCCCGGCGTGGTCGCGCTACCGGCGGCCTAGGAACTGGGTGGCGCGCGGGGCAGGGGACCAGATGAACTGCGGGCCGGGGACCTCGTTCTCTTCCTGCTGCTTCTCCTCCTGACGCAGGGTTTGGCTACCCGGCACCAAGCGAGCGACCCCGGTCTGCGGCGACCGAAGACAAGGTTCTCTGGGGCCTTCGCTCCGCTAGCCTGTGGCTGGGCTGCCAGGGCCCCCCGGTCATCAGCATCCCGCCCACAACTCCAGCCCCGAGAAAGGCAAGGAAGAGTTAGTTCAGGGTTCCGAGCTGCTTTCCCGGGTGACAGAGGGCGGGGACTTGGTAGGTGAGAGTCCCCTAGATCGCTGCGGCGCACAGTCAGTCTCTCTTAGTATAGAAGCTTTTCTTTGCCCATGGTTTCCCACTGCGGGACAAAGCTGATGGCCTCTGAGCTCGCCTCTCCTTACTTCCCCTCCCATTCCTTTCTGGCCATTGTCAGGTCCGGGTGGTCCACTAGGGCAGCAGAAATAAGGGGCCTGTCGCTAGCTCGCTCCGATCCTTCCTTTCTAAGTGAGTCACTGGGCTGACGTGCGTGCGCTATGTGAATTATTAAAAGTTCACTCCTGAATGGTGACCCCGCAGGAGGAGGGGAAGTTAAAAGGCACCCTGGCGGTCCACCTGGTGGGTTGTGAGGTTGTCAAGGCGTGCGACGCAGAAGCAGGGCGAAATGCCCCGTTCAGTAGTCAAAATGGGCTTCAAAGTGACTCAGCTGTCTGGCGGCTATCTGCCTTTTTGAGGACCAGGCTATTTTTATCCCTCCACTTTGGATCTCATATGTCACCCAGCAGATCTTGGGGCATCAAGAGGTGGATGGGAGAGGCAGGTTTCACAGATGTTTATTCAACATATTTTTTTCTTAGAATATAGAGAGTTATTGGGGGAAGACCCCCAAATGAGCGGCAACATGCCAGAAATTTCCCTTTTTTTAACCTGTGGGTTGATTTGGGGGTGGTTGTAAGCCTTATTTTGTTTGGTGTACATTGGAGTTCTGGTGTTATTATCTTCTCTAGGATTGTTTCGTTTTTCTGTTATGCTATTCCAGATGATTTGGGTTGCAAATTACAAATAACTAACAATTTTGTTAGTTATTTATTTTCATATCTTTAAAAAAGACCCAGGTAGAGTGGAGTGAAAGATTACATTTAATAGCATATTTTGACATTACTCACAGTGACGTCATTGCATCCTGGGAAAGACCATTTTCAGGTTGCATGGATCCTGTGGGGTAGGTTATATTATAAAAACTCCAGAGTGGAGCGTGGCTAGCGTCTGACTTAAAGACAAGGTGGCCTAACTCCCCAGAACATGTAAAATGACTTTCTCAAGCTCTACTCACAGACTTTTACTTCGGAGCAGGTATGAGAAATAGTTGTTGTAACTGGTTTCCACAGAGCAGATGGAGCTGGAACTTTCTCTGTGACAGACAGCGCTCTAGAAGTTTCTTGTCCTTTCGAGAGATGATTTCACTCGTGTTGCCGCGGTTCCTTGGGGTAGACTGGGTCCGTTTACAGGCAGTGAATCATCCTGTTTTGTTATCTGACTTCAGGGAAGATGATGAGGGTTTATAACTCGATAATTTAGAACAGGGTGCCTGGAAATGTGAAGTCTTTTCATGTGGCTCTTTTAACAGTTCATTGAAAATCCAGTGTTTTTTGAGCACTTGGCTTTACCAACTCACACATGTGAGAAACACAGTTGGGTGGTGCCAAACGCAGCAAAATTTTCACTCGTAAGTGCTGTGGGACTTCGAGGGAAAGGTCAGAAACAGTCATGTTGGGGTGGGGTGAGGGAAGACATCTTCCTTTCGGATAGTTTCGAAAAGTCTCATAGCTAAAGATAGAAGGTAAAGGAGGTGGCCATTCCGAGCAAGGGGCAAACAAGCGAACTTTTCCTTCTTGTTTGCCTGTAGGCACTGCAAAACAGAAAGGCTGATTTGGCCAGGTGTGGTCTTTTTCTGGCTGTTAAGATAAAATCCTGAAGGAGCAGCGATGGGAAGGCAAGACTTGTGTTGGCTCCCTGTGCTGTCTGCGTTAGGCTCAGTGGCGTGGTAGAGTAGCTAGGGCCGCTCAAGGAAGCAGAAGGCTCAGGCCAGCATGAGGAGCAGATGTGATAGCCCCCAGTGACCCGTTTCTCTAGGAAGACCAAAGACTCTGCCACTCCTTCACAGTGCCACCGCCTGGGGAGAGGGGTCTCAAGTCATAGCACCAAGTCAGATGTGACGTCAGAGCCAAGAAAGGAGTATGAAGAGGGCCTTGAATTCTGAAAAAGTATCTGATATTTATTTATTTTTAAACTTTTATTTATTTATCTTTTGAGGCTAGGTTTGAACTCAGGGCTTTGTACATGCCAACATCTTACTCTATCCTGATATTGGTTTTAGGTTCTTATACATGTTAGACAAGTACTCTGCCAGTGAGCTATATCCAACGGTTTCCTTTTATGATTTGAAATAAGGTCTCACTGAGTGGCCAGGCATACTTATTTAAACTTACTCTGAACCCTGGGCTGACCTTGAACTTGGGATTTTTCTGCCTCAACCTCCTAAATAGCTGGCATCACAGGTCTAAATAGACAGCTATTTTTACATTTATTTTAAAAAGAAAAAATTTAGTTGATTAATCTCTCTCTCTCTCTCTCTGTATGTGTGTGTGTGTGTGCGTGTGTGTGTGTGTGTATGTGTGTGTGTATGCGTGTGTGTGTGTATGCGTGTGTGTGTGTGCGTGTGCGTGTGTGTGCGTGTGTGTGTGTGTGTGTGCGATGCATCCACATGAGCCATGGCTTGCTTGTTGAGGTTGGAGGACATTGCACAAACAAGAAGGAGTCTGTTTTCCTCCTCCATCACTTGAGTTCCGGGGATTGAATTTGGGTCCTCAGGCTTACTAGCAAGCACTTTTGTCTGCTGAGCCATTTTGCTGGCTCTTGAGAAGCTACTCTTAGGTAACATGATTGCATGTGTGTTATGGTTTGAATATGAAATATCCCTTGCAGATTTATGTTAGGGGCTTATCCCCCAGCTTATGATATTGTTATTTTGGGAGATTCTGAAAACTTCAGGACATTAGATCTAGCAGAGAAAGAGAGATACTGGGAGTGGGTCTTCGCTGGGGGGCTTGGCCTTGGTCCCTTCCTGGCTGTCTCTGCTCCTGTCTGTCAGAAGTTAGGAAGCACCTCTACTCTCTTCCACGCCTATACCACTCTGTTTTCTTGACCCAAATGCATGAGGCCATGTAACCATGAGCAAGATAAATAATGACCCTCCCCTCCAGTTGAATACAGTGATGTACAGTAGTACTGCAAAGTAGGTTGGAGGCAATGCTTCCAAGTGTTTGTATCCTGGATGTGTACCAGGCCCTAGGCACAGCCATAAGAACTTTATGACTGTAGTGCATTGGACAGTATAAAACTCATTTTTATAACCTCCATTTTCTTCCCTCCCTCTAGAGCAGGGGTCCTCAACCTGTGGGTCTCAGCGCCCACAGGAGTCACATCAGATATCCTGCGTATCAGATTTTTACATTATGATTCGTAACAGTAGCAAAATTAAAGTTAGGAAGTAGCAATGAAAATAACTTTATGGTTGGGAGTTACAACCACACGAGGAACTGTATTAAAGGGCTGCAGCTTCAGGAAGGGTGAGCAATAAACTCCACTGCTCTAGAGTTTAGTAGGGAACAGATGCTAAAGATGATCTTGTCTCTCCCCACCTCTCTGGCTTTGACCAGATCTGGCCTCTGGCTCCCAGTGTGTCAGTTCACCTGTCCTTGACTTGGTTTGCCTACAAAGTCTGACATGTCCTTCCTAGGGGAGCTGTTTGTCAGGGGTGAATTGAAGGGGGATCTGTTGGTTCCCACATCGAGTCACTTCCTTCATGAACCCAGCATGGCTCCTTAGGTTCATTTATTCTCTATGTTGTGCCCTTTGTTCTCTTGTGTTCGCAGCTCTAGCGAGGCATGTCTTTGAGTTTTTACTCTGCAATGCCCATTTCCTTGTCTATCTAATATTGCCTTCCCTGGTGATGTTACCAAGGTTCTCTTCTCATCCACTCTGACTCCATCCTGCCCCGAGTGCCTACACTCTCTAGGCTCCTGCCCTTTGGTATCCCCTCTTCCATTCTGCCTTTCTTTCAGTTTATCTCTTTAATCCTTATTTTTGAATCACTTAAAGTCTTGGATGGAGCAGGAGGTTCTGTTCGGGGCTCCCCACTCCTGCAGACTCCTGCAGACTCCTGCAGACTCCTGTAGACTCCTGTAGACTCCTGTAGACTCCTGTAGACTCCTGCAGACTCCTGCAGACTCCTGCAGACTGAGCCTCTTGTCTTTCCCTTCTTGTTTCAACCATCTGTTTTTGGTTGTTATGACAAAATCCATGGCAAAAGCCACTGTTTTGGCTTATGGTTGAGGGTGCATTAATCCTGGCAAGGAAGTCACGGTGGTAGCAGTTCAAGGAAGCTAGTCACCTTGCATTCACAGGCAGGATACAGGGAAATGACCACTGGAGCTTAGTTGCTTTTCTTATTTTTATTCAGTCTAGAACCCCAGTCCATGGGATAGTGTCTCCGTACCACAATTGACCCATCCTAGAAACCCCATCAATGACATGGCCAGAGGTTTGTCTCCTGTGATTGACAATCACCATAGATGATCACACTGGCCTGATCTCGGATCACTGGAAACAAAGAAGGTGAGACAAGGCTTCAGAACAGGGTAGTTCATGGTGGAAAGCTGTCTCAGGGAAGGAAAAGGGACAGCGACAAGGAGGAAGGAGCAGCTGGCATCAAGTCCCAGGGAAGGGAAGCTGTGGAATGCATTTCCAGCCTTCCACTTGATGTGCTGCAGAGGGACAGAGTATTTATCTTCTGGCTCTCAGCCCTATCCCCCTGCTGGGTGAGTGTTGATCCAGGACACACCCTCACTTTCCAACTCAGCATTTGTTCTGGAAGGCC